AACACCACAGGATGCTTGGAAAAAAAACAAACAAATATTCAATCTGCCTGGCGAAGGACCCAACCATATGCAGTTGTGAGCACCGTCTCGGAGGAGCTCCCTACGAGGGCCACGAAACGTGTGAGGGGTGCGCCAAAACTTGTCCGGTGGGCGCATGCGAAAGCAGCCACTGGGGCCGTCGGTGGAGTTCCCTATGGGGCCACGAAACGTGTGAGGGGTGTGCCGAAATAAATGCGGTAGGCGCACGCGAACGCCGCCACTGGCGCCTTCGGTGGAGCTCCCTATGGGGCCACGAAACGTGTGAGGGGTGCGCGCCGAAATGGGTGTGGGTGACGCATGCGGGCGGTGGCACCGGGGCCTTCGCTGGAGCTCCCTATGGGGCCGCGAAACGTGTGACGGGTGTGCCGGACTGGGCGCGGGTGACCCATGCGGGCGGTGGCACTGGGGCCTTCGGTGGAGCTCCCTATGGGGCCACGAAACGTGTGTTTGTGTGTGTGTGTCTGTGTCTGTGTCTGTGTCTGTGTCTGTGTCTGTGTCTGTGTCTGCGTCTGTGTCTGTGTCTGTGTCTGTGTCTGTGTCTGTGTCTGTGTCTGTGTCTGCGTCTGTGTCTGTGTCTGTGTCTGTGTCTGTGTCTGTGTCTGTGTCTGTGTCTGCGTCTGTGTCTGTGTTTGTGTCTGTGTCTGTGTCTGTGTCTGTGTCTGTGTCTGCGTCTGCGTCTGTGTCTGCGTCTGTGTCTGCGTCTGTTGACGCCGGGCCTATAAAGGCAAAAGGAGCCCGCTGAGGGCCCAGGCCCACGTGAAGGGCCCTGGCCCACAGGGGCCTTCCCAAAACAGGAGGAGGGCGCTTCGGCCCCGAGAGCCTCGACGACGTCGGACAACTCCTGCCCCGAGGGCGCTGCGGCCCCGAGGCGCAGCTCGACACGTCCGAAGCTCCACCCCCGTCTATAGGGCATCTCCCGTACCAAGGGACATACAGGAGGAAAATCTGCGGTGCAAGCGGGCACAGACTGCAACAAGAACGTACGCATGCAAATACAGAAGGCCACTCAATCACACCCTCAACGCGCGATCACATTCCGAGCAGGAGAACGCTGACTAAGCAAACCAGCGGACGCTTCTGCCTAGAACAGCCTCGCGCGTACTCATCTGCGGTGCAAGCGGGCACAGATTGCAACAAGCACGCACGCATGCAAATGCAGAAGGCCACTCACTCACACCCTCAACGCGCGATCACATTCCCAGCAGGAGAACACTGACTAAGCAACCAGCGGACGCCTCTGCCAAGAACAGCCTCGCGAGTACTCAGAACCCTGAGAAGTCCTCACTCGAAATCATCCTCGAAGTGGCTGCTGCGCTCCAGCCGAGCGCACTGCTCGGCGAAGCTCGGCGAGCCCTGGGCTAGCCATGCGGCGCGCTCGAGGTCGCACTCGGCAGCGCGCTCGCTGCCGTCGGAGAACTCGTCGATGAGGAACTGGCCGTGGTCGGGCCCGTAGTCCCTTAAGACCCCAAACACGGAGGAGACGTAGGAACTGCTGTCGCCGCCCACGGAGCCTTCGTCGACCTCAACGCTCTCGACGCTTTCGATGCCCCCTCGGAGGAGCGCAGCATCGTTATCTAGCAGGTATTGCGCGACAGCATCGTGGCGCTCGGCGGTGGCGGCGGAGAGGGTCTCGGAGCATACCGTGCTGTCCTGGCTCCCCTCGGCGCTCTCGCCCTCGCCGTGCCTGCTGTCGCCCTGCTCTCCAGTTGGGCCTCCCAGGTGCTCCAGCGGCGGCGGCGGCGCTCCAGCGCCTGCAGCACCGCCCACCTGAGGCCACTCGGCACGACGCGGCACCTGGAGGGCAGCTGCGCCGACTCCCTCCTGCTCCACGTCTGCCGCCCAAGCCCCGTCACGGGGAGGGCCGAGCTCAGCCCTGTCAACGGGGGCCAGGGGCCCGCAGTCCAGCGCCGCAAGCACCTCCTCGGCCGTCTCCTCGCAGCTCAGCTGGCGGAAGGGTACGTACGGCGTGGCCCCGCTCCGCAGCGGCGTGCGCCTCGAACGGAAGGGCTGGGCGCTTGACCGCAGGCTCGCCCTCGGCTCCGCTGGTCTCCCGAGCTTCACGGCGGGCTCGGCAACGCAAATATCGACCTGTATCTCCAGCTGCAGCCGCGCTGCCCCCTCACTGCTGGCACCGCCGTGGGCGGCGCCAGCAGGCCTGGGAGCTGCTCCCAGGCGGGGCCCGCGCTCGGCCCTGCGCCGTGCGGCCGGCCCCGCTCCGGCCAGCGGGCAGGAAGCGGCGTGCCAGGCCACGTTGCGCCGCCGCCTGGCCGCTGGGGCCTCGGGTCTGCCGGCGACGCGGGCCGCCAGGACAGGCCTCGCGATCGCCTCGCGCCGCAGCACCTCGGGCCCCCCCTCGCCGTCGACCTTCGCCTCGAGCAGCTCGCGGAGCCTGGCGGCCTCGCCCCGGGCCTCTGCCAGCCCCCGCGTCAGCCGCTGCACAAGGCGGTCTGCAGCGAAGCGGGCACCAGCCACCCCGCGCAGACTCTCCCGCGCCATCTTGCCCGAGCGCGCCCAGGCACGGCTTGAGCCAAAATGGCTACGGATGTGTCAGCGTCAGTGTCAGTGTCAGTGTAAGTGTCTGTGTCTGTGTCTGGGGCTCAGGCACCACAGAGGGGCCAAGGCCCCTATGGGCCATCCCAAGACCGGGGGCGGGCCACAAGGGATCCCGAGAGCCCAGACGAGCCGCAGAAGGCTGCCGCCAGGGCACATCGGCCCCGAGGCACCGCTCGGCCAGTCAGCTCAGACCCCCGTCGAGGGGCATCAGCGCGAAGCGCTGGACTATATACAACCGCGCAGACACGCGACGGGCGACGCCCCAAACATGCCTGCACAGTCCCAGGCGGCACGGCGAGGCAGGCGAGGCGCAGGGAGCTCCACGCCCGCGCGCAGCGGCCCGCGGCCACCAGGGGTCCAAAACGCAGCAGGGGGAGGACGGGGCGAGACAGATCTACAAACGAACGCAACTGCACGCCAAACTCACTCACCCACTCACCTCTCGCGATTCCTGCACTCCGAGGGCGGCTCGGGACTCGGCCTCGCCACGCCCCTCGCCGTTGCTCCTGCCTGCGAAATCCTGGGGCCCCTCCTCGATCGACTCCTCGAGGCAGGCCCCCCAAGCTTCATCCCAGGCCTTCAGGCAGGCTTCCTGGGCAGCCCGCCAAGCTTCGTCGCGGGCCCTCATGCGGGCAAGAACGTCGGAGTCCTGCTCCACGGGGCCGTCCACAAAGCCGTACTCGCAGCCAACCGAGACGAACCCCTTCTCGTCGAAGTCCGCCCCCCTCGAAGACGATATCAAACTTCTGTAGCTTGCAGCCCAGCCGCGGGCCGAGGCGGCGTCCGCTCCACTAGAGCACGAACCCGCGTCCGAGCCCGAGCTCCCCGCAGCGCCCGCGTCGGCCTCCGCATGCCCGCCCGCGGCTGGTACCTCGAGCCAGGCGCGGGCGACCGCCTCCCGAGCACGCCACCAGGCCGCCCCGCGAGAGCCAGCGGGCTCGCGGCCTCCACGTAGGATCGCCGCAGGATGCCTGCACAGGTACTGCTGCACGGCGGACTCGCGGCCTCCAGGCGCAGCGCTGGCCGAGCAGGCGGCGGCTACCTCGGGCGCGCCTGCGCTAGCCCCAGCCGCGCTCACGGCCACGGGCTCGGAGGCAGAGTCGGGCTCCAGCCCGAGCTCGACAACCTGCTCGGCAAGCTTGACGGAACCAGGTCCCGAGACGGGAGGCAGCGGCACACGGCCAGCAGTACCTCCAGGGATCCCTTGCACTCCGAGGGCGGCACCTGCGTGTTCGAACAGGCTCCCGTCACCGTCGCTATCCACGCGGCGCTCTCCTCCGACGACGTCTCCAGCCGCGCGGGCCCGCGGCGGCGGCGCTCCAGCGCTCGCAGCACCGCTTCCCAGCAGGCCCACGGCAGACCCGTCCGCTCCCGAGTTACCGCGAGCAGACGCTGTCGGTGGCGGCGGCGGCCCAGCGCCCGCAGCACCGCCCCCGGCATCGCTCTCCACGCTCGCATAATGCACCGAGTCGTGCTCGGGCAGCTCGCTGTGCACAACGCCGCCGGCTACAACGCCCAGCCCTTCCAGCAGCGCGTCGACGTCAGCCGGCCAGTCCCACCGCCCCGGTGGTCGACGCGGCCAGAACGGGGCCGCCTCCCGGCGTAGCCTGGGCTGCACCGGCGGGAGCTCAACGGGCGGCTCGCCGATGCACGCCTCCACCTCGCAAACAATGGGGCCTCCAGTAGCAACGGCGCCGGCTCCACCATCCAGGCGGCCTCCGCGCTGCGCAGCCCTCCACTCCGAAAGGGGAGCGCCTGCCTGCGGGCACTGCCTCGCGTGCAGCGAAACGTTGCGCACCAGGCGCTTGGCCCCGCTCTCGGGCTCGCCGCGGAGCCGCGCCAAAAGGGATGGCCTGGCCAGCTCCTCGCGGCGGGCGGCCTCGACGGAGACGCCGTCGGCCCCGCGCACCGCGCCCCGCAAGTCCAGCGCCCCACGCAGCCGCGCGCGGCCGCGGGCCGCTCGGCGAGCGGCCGTCGCGCCGAGAAGAAGGCCGCCACAACGTGGGGCAGCCCGCCGCCGCCATTTCTCGAGCCCGCCCGCGCGCGCCCGAGGCAGGCTTGAGCCAAAATGGCTACGGATGTGTCTGTGTCTGTGTCTGTGTCTGTGTCTGTGTCTGTGTCTGTGTCTGTGTCTGTGTCTGTGTCTGTGTCTGTGTCTGTGTCTGTGTCTGTGTCTGTGTCTGTGTCTGTGTCTGTGTCTGTGTCTGTGTCTGTGTCTGTGTCTGTGTCTGTGTCTGTGTCTGTGTCTGTGTCTGTGTCTGTGTCTGTGTCTGTGTCTGTGTCTGTGTCTGTGTCTGTGTCTGTGTCTGTGTCTGTGTCTGTATATGTGTCTGTGTCTGTGTCTGTGTCTGTGTCTGTGTCTGTGTCTGTGTCTGTGTCTGTGTCTGTGTCTGTGTCTGTGTCTGTGTCTGGTTAGCGCGGGGCCGGTGAAGGCTTAAAAAACCCTCAAAGGGCCCAGGCCCCACTGAGGGGCCAGAGCCCCAAGGGGCCATCCCAAGACCGGGGGCGGGCCACAAGGGATCCCGAGAGCCCAGACGAGCCGAAGAAGGCAGCCACCAGGGCACATCGGCCCCGAGGCACCGCTTGGCCAGTCAGCTCAGACCCCCGTCGAGGGGCATCAGCGCGAAGCGCTGGGAAAAATACAGCGTGCAACCACGCGACGGGCGGCGCCTCAAACATGCTTGCACAACCCCGAGCGGCGCGGCGAGGCGCAGGAAACTTCACGCCCACGCGCAGAGGCCCGCGGCCACCAGGGGCCCAGAGAAAACAGGAGGACGGGAGACGGACGCAGAGGGGAGGACAGGAGGAGAGGCAGGCTGGCGCCCCACAGCCAGGAGCGTCCTAGGCTCGGCGCGCGCGAGATCGCGCACATCGAGCGCCCCGAGGCTGGGGCCAGCGCGGACTCAGTCACCTCCATTTCCGTCCTCTCTGCGTCGCTTCCTGCTCTGGCGCTCGAGTCGGGCCTCCTCGGCCTCCTGTGACCAGCTCAGCAGGCTCTCCTCGTCGAGGTCGTACGCATCCAGCCAGGCATGCCGCGCGCCCTCTCCCGCCGCGGAGCCTCCTGCCGCAGCGGGCACCTCAGCCGACGAGGAGGTAGCGCAACCTGCGCCACTCCCAGCAGCGTCAGCCGCCGAGGCGCTGCCCGCGACGCCTGCTGGTGCGTCAGGCTGAACACCAAGCCACTTCAGGAAGCGCTGTCTGGCGTCCTGCGGCACCTCAGCCTCCTTGCGAAGACGAGGGGCCTCCGCCCCCTTCCTCCGCGTGTCGCGGGCGTGCGGCGTGCCTCCAGGGTGGAGGCCACGCTCCCACCGCGACTTCTGGTCTCGCAGCGACTTGGGGAGGCCTGTTGCCCCAGGACAGCGCTCCCTGAGCTTGGGCTGCGGGCCAGGGCGTCCGCCTAGCCTCGCATAAGCTCCGAATCTGGTGCACGCAATGATCTCCTGCTCGTCGCCGTCCTCACCGCTCCTGGCGAACGCGAGGGTGTGGCCAGCGACGGCGAAGACCAGGGCGCCCAGCGTGACTCCGCCGTCGCGTGCAGCCGAGGCCCAGGCGCCAGCGGCGGCGGGGCGGCTGCCTGTCTGCTCCCCGCGGGCCGCGACGGCGTCGGGCGTGGCGTCCGACTCGGACACGTCTGTGTCTGTGTCTGTGCCTGTGCCTGTGTCTGTGTCTGTGTCTGTGTCTGTGTCTGTGTCTGTGTCTGTGTCTGTGTCTGTGTCTGTGTCTGTGTCTGTGTCTGTGTCTGTGTCTGTGTCTGTGTCTGTGTCTGTGTCTGTGTCTGTGTCTGTGTCTGTGTCTGTGTCTGTGTCTGTGTCTGTGTCTGTGTCTGTGTCTGTGTCTGTGTCTGTGTCTGTGTCTGTGTCTGTGTCTGTGTCTGTGTCTGTGTCTGTGTCTGTGTCTGTGTCTGTGTCTGTGTCTGTGTCTGTGTCTGTGTCTGTGTCTGTGTCTGTGTCTGTGTCTGTGTCTGTGTCTGTGTCTGTGTCTGTGTCTGTGTCTGTGTGTGTCGTGTGCGTGTGCGTGTGCGTGTGCGTGTGCGTGTGCGTGTGCGTGTGCGTGTGCGTGTGTGTGTGTGCCGAAATGGGTGTGGGGGACGCATGCGGGCGGTGGCACTGGGACCTTAGGTGGAGCTCCCTATGAGACCACGAAACGTGTGAGGGGTGTGCCGGAATGGGTGGGTGACGCATGCGGGCGGTGGCACTGTGGCCTTCGGTGGAAGCTCCCCGTAGGGCCACGAAAAGTGTGAGGGGTGCGTGCCGCAATGGGTGTGGGTGACGCATGCGGGCGGTGGCACTGGGGCCTTCGGGTGGAGCTCCCTATTGGGCCACGACGAAACTTGTGGAGGGGTGTGCCGAAATGTGGGTGACGCATTCGGGCGGTGGCACTGGGGCCTTCGGTGGAGCTCCCAATGGTGCCACGAAACGTGTGAAGGGTGTGCCGGAATGCGTGTGCGTGACGCGTGCGGGCGGTGGCACTGGGGCCTTCGGTGGAGCTCCCTATGGGGCCACGAAACGTGTGAGGGGTGTGCCGGAATGGGTGTGGGTGACGCATGCGGGCGATGGCACTGGGGCCTTCGGTAGAGCTCCCTATGGGGCAACGAAACGTGTGAGGGGTGTGCCGACATGGGTATGGGTGACGCATGCGGGCGGTGGAGGGGGGGGGGCGAGGAGGAGTGAGTGACGCGAGGCGCTGTCTCTTCAAAACGAGGACCCAACACCACAGGATGGTTGGGAAAAATCGTCCCCAGACTATTTTTGGCCTATGGCTGAATATTCCTCCTGTAGAGGGAAACGCCCGACTTTAGGGTAGGATAGAGAAACTAGAAAATCTGGACGTCGGCGTGCTCAGGCTCCTGGGAGGTCCCTGGAAGCCATCCAAAGAGCAAAAAGGCGAGAGCGCCCAAACACCAGAATCCAGCGCCTCATCTCAGGAGGAGGATCGGCCAGTCGTAAAGTCAAGATGCGAACAGCTGGACGAAGGGCTCCGACCCCGTCAGCCCAGCAAAGAATAAACTCGCGATGCCGCGCGCGACACTAGCACGGGCGTGACATAGAAACAGACAGCTGGCAGGACAGCAGCATAAAAGAGAAGGAGGTCTCGTGTAGCTCTACTCATTTGTCTTTGCTCTCGATTCTACATGTCCCCGCCCCTGGAATGGCTGTAAACGGCACGTAAAAAAAGGATGATGAGCTTCCGAGTGCTGGGCCCTGGACATCGAACATCCCCGCAAGTCAAGCCTCCTCACCTCCAGTTGCTCGACCTCCTGTCACCCCATCGAATGACATGAAAAAGCGACTTAGCCCTCTGAGAACCCCCTCAGAGCCGTCTCCTTCTCCTCGATACTCCCCCCCTTCCTTCACCCCCCTCCTTCTTTCGGCGGCGAGCGAGGGGGGGAAGTGAGAAGGAGAAGGCCTTATCAGAAGGTTCGGAAGTCCCCTGGCCTTCTGAGAAGTTGTCTAAGCCTTCCTCGAAGACAAGAGAAACTTCTCAGAAGACGCGAGGGCTTCTGAGAAGTCCCGCCGCCTCCTGAGAAGGCCTTCTCCTTTTCACTTCCCCCCCTCGCTCGCAGCCGATTCTTCCTCCTCCTCCTCCTCCTCCTCCTCCTGCTCCTCCTCCCTTCTCCGTCTTCTCCTCCCCACGCCGGAGCGGGTGGCGACATGACAGTGGGCCCGCTGGAAAAACGGCGCAGGAGGAGCGGGCCGCCAGCGTCGGCGCACGCCTGCGGCACGACGGCCTCCTCGGCCCTACGCCTTGCCGCCCGGGACCTTTGCGATGCCGTTGGCGCCATTTCTCCGGGCGGACCCCAGCGTGCCGCTCGCGCTCTTCGCCGTCTTCAGCTGGTCCCTCAAGGAGGTCATGTGCTCCTCGCGGGCGAGAGACATGCCCACGCCCCACGTTTCGAGGCGACTACTGGGAGTTCTTCGTCGGAAGGATGGGGGAGAATTAAGCCCCAGTTGGGCGCTGCTGCGATGGATTCGGCCGCGGAGTAAGCGGGATGAAGCCGTATTGAGCCGGATTGAGCCGGACTGCACGGGATCAGTCGGGATTTAGCCAGATGAAGCCAGATTTCAGACCAGGGCACAATCAGAATTTGACCTCACAGGAGTTGCATCCGAGCCCACGGCATCGCGGTCTGGACTCCTCGACCGCTGCCCCAATGGACACAGGGCGGCATTGGGCTCTACGTATCCATGGGGCGACACCGTGCCTCGGCGTCTGGACCGCGAGGGACGTTTTCGTCGCGCCTGCGCTCCTGCGGCCCCATCATTTCCTCCTTCAGGGTGGCGAGGTGATGCTGCGCGAGGCCCATCCAGTGGTTCTGCACCGCCACGCTCGTCAGGATGTCCTTCACGTGCTCCCGGTCCCCCCTCTCCTGCACCTCCAGGCCCTTGCACATCCACCCGCGCTCCTTCATGTCGGCCATGTCCGCCAGGGCCTGCTCCAGGCAGATGTGGATCGCGCCCACCATCTCCGCCATCTCGCCGGAGCCGATGCCGACGCGCGAGATGATGTTGGCCTTGTTCCGGCAGTTCCTCAGGATGTAGTCAAACTGGAACTGGTGCATGTCGGGGAACCTGTCCTTGATGTCCTTCTTGGTTATGTAGTTGGGCATCTCGGGCAGGGCCGCGAGGATGGCCCGCTCGGATATCCACTGTTTCCTGTACCTCGCGTTGTGGTACAGGTAGATCGTGTCCGCGATGATGGTCATGCTGTCGCCCGACTCCTGGCGCACCTCTACGACCAGAAAACAAACGACACCACTTCACACCTCCTCCCCCTCCTCCCCCTCCTCTTCCTCCTCCCCCTCCTCCTCATCCTCCTCCTACGGCCACAGGGGGGGGCCCAACGTATACCAGGAGATCCGGCGTGGGCTAGTACAGAGTATACGCTACGGCCCCCGATCAGCCGTAGCGCAACATGGAGGGCCGTACAATAGAGGCCAGTCCACAAGAAACCTTCCACAAGAAACGCAACCCTGAGACCCCAGGACGTGCATGGATTTTTGGTGTGGGAGCGTCACGCCTTCCATGGCAAAACCATCGAAACCCAAGAAACCCAGGGCACCCTGGAGGCAAGCAGGGTGTTTCTTGGCATGGGCCTCCAGTGTAGGTGGGGTGGTGTCGTTTGCTTTTTGGCCGACCTCTTGGTACACGTCCATGATGATGGCCAGCACCATGTTCAGGAGCAGCACCACGCCGATGGACAGGTACACCTCGGCGGCAAGAGACGCAGAGGGACGAGGGCGAAGGAGGGCGGCCCCCGAGGCAGGCAAAGCTCTTCCCAGAAGGGGCTTGCCATCGCTCGGACGTCCATGACTTCGATCTGGTGCGTGTCATTAATCGCAGGATGGTCCAGGATGTTCTGCAGTGGTGGACGAAAAGTGCACACGTCTGAGCGATGCCAAGGGGGAGGGGGTGAGAGGGGGCTTCTGCCCGATGACGCTCCCGCTCGTGTGGAGGAAAATGAGAAGGAGGAGGAGGAGGAGGAGGAGGAGGAGGAGAGGAGGAGGAGGAGGAGGAGGAAAAGGAGGAGGAGGAGGAGGAGGAGCGGGGGGGAGGAGGAGGGGGGGGAGGAGGAGGGGGAGGAGGAGGAGGAGGAGAAGGAGGAGGGATGGGATGCTCCGAATATGGCCTCTGAAGGAGGCCGGAGGGCCTCTATAGGAGCCCACTGCCTGCCTCTGAAGCCGGCCCCTCGCAGCAACCCCCGCTGCGCGCTGCAGAGTATAAAGGGGGCCTGGGACACACAAATAAACACACACACACATAAAAATGATTCCCCATATTTTCCCATATGTTCTGTATGTTTGTCTTCACCCCCACTTCCCATATTTTCCCAGATTCTCCGGGGAATCGACGATTACTTTTGTCTGTGTGTTTTTGTTCCCTCCTGAGAGTACCACTGTCCACATCAAGGCCGAGTAGTACGAGGAGTGGTCTGCAGACAACTCCATCCACTTATACTCGTTCTCCATCATGATCTTGAAGCACGTCATGAGTGCCGCCCAAGGTGTGCAGAAATCTTGCAGCCGCTTGCCGAACAGGATCATTCCGGAAAGGGCGAATGCGATGATGGTGGAAAGCATGATAATCATGAAGTGGAACATGTCACTCGAGCTGTCAATGAGAGTCCTGATGACAACGGCGAGGCGCGGCTGGAACTGCAATGACACGAAAGCGCGCAAATTGAACAATATCGTAGCAAAGGCAATGATGCTGCGCAAGGTCACTATGAGGCCCACCATGTCATCGACGGCATCGTGGAGATCAAATGCAACAGAGTTGGAAATCTCATCATTGTACTTGTTGATGGCGTCTTTCACGGCATCAAGTCGCTGGAGCTTGACGATGTACATGGCGATTGTAATCCACCCGAATATCACCGAGAGGAGCGTCACTCCGTTCGCCCCGTTCACCAAGATCTTCCAGTCACGGTCATCTTTGAACTGTAAGAACTGGTGGCGCAGGGACCACGTGGAAATTATGAGGGATCCGAAGAAGAAGCCGGCGAATATGACGCCATTGCTGCCGGAACCCCAGAAACTGGTCGAGAACGATGTCATATCCAAAAACGTGAAGACGCCACCCCCACGGCTAAACTCCAGAGAGACCTTCACCTGCACAATCCAGGGCTTGTCCAAGTCGGTGTTCGCGTAGAGCGCCGTCAACGACAGCGCGACGGTGTGGTCGTCCAGCCACTCGCGGTCCTGCAGGTACTGGAGGCGCGCATTGGTCTTCGCGGCGGGGTCCCGAGAGTCCAGATACATGCGGAAGGTCGAGGGCTCGTCTGGCACGACCGGGGAGATGATGTTGTTGGTCGAGTACGCCATCCAGGCGAAGTCCTCCCGCAGGTAGGCCAGGCGCCGCCAGAGCGTGTCGCACCCGTGCGTGGTGAAGGCCTCGTCCGTACACCTCAGGATCTCGTCCGGGCCGCCGGTCAGATTTGCCCCGAGGTAGTGCTCCATGGCGGGCGTGCCGCCGACGTCAGGCACCTCCGCCCACGGGACGCCGAAGGGCTCCGCACTGAGCCCGGTGGATGGGAAGCACTTCATGTGGCTCGTCTTGAGGTCCTCGCACGTGCCGCCGAGGCACGTGGGCATCCCGAACCAGGCAGAGGTCCCGCTCACCACCTCGTCGCAGCCCTTCTCGGCAGCTCGTTGCATGTCCATTTTCACGACCCCCAGCAATTGGTTGTACTGGAACATGGTGCCCCACTCCTCCTCCGGCATCGGGTTTCCCAAACTGTCGTTCTGTGCGAAGAACAGTGGAACATAGGTTTCCGCTAGGAATGTCCACACATCTGGAACGACGACCACGCCCTGCAACATGTCTGGGGTCGGAGATTCGCCATTCTCCAGCATCGGCATCAAAGCCTCGCGTATCGGGCTCTCCACGAGGTGCCTCTGCCCCGGGTCCTCCAGCATGGATGCCGCGAGCGCGTAGAAGATGAAGAAGAACCACATGATCGGAAGCATCATGCAGTTGCCCCAGCGCCGCTTGCTCTCCATGAGCGCCTCTTTGATGATCTTGCGCTCGATGATGTCGGCGGTGCTGGCCAAGGCACTCCGCCGGAGGATGTCTTTCGCCTTCCTCACTGGGCCCTCGACCTCGGAGCGCGCAGAGACGGCGTTGTCTCTCCTGTCCTGCATGACGGGGTCATCTGCGCTCATGCTGAAGGACTTCTCTTACTGTTAATGTGGAGGAATTCTGTGTTCCTCCTGGTGCCCTAGCCAGGGCAACGGCTGCGGAGGAAGAAGACATGGGAGGAAGGTGGAGACGAATGCGGATGAGAGGCGGAGAGCGAGAGGGAGGAGGATAACGAAAGCATGAGGGAGGGGAGGGATGAGGAGAGAAAGAGGGGGAGGGGAACGCAGTGAGAGGTGGCATTGGTGTCCTTGTCCCATGAATGGGCTTGACAGCGCCAAGATACGTTCACCAAGGAAGCCCCAGGCTCAAGTAACACCTCGATCTAGGACAAAACACTTACAAGACAAATCATGTCGCGAGCGGTTACTTTCCCAATACAGAAGTCGCTGGGGATGATGGTTCGAGAACAAAGTTGAGCGACGGTGTGACCGAATATCCGCCACCGTGCAGCGGACACTGACTGGAGTGCCGTCAGGTACCTTCAAATTGTCAGCATTGTATCTTGCAGGTGTCGTTTAAGGGCCCAGAGCCCAGTGATCCGGGCGTGCCTGGGCGCTCTTGGGAATAACCGCGTGACGCTTTCCGCTTCCCGACGCCAACATCCGTCGAAACACCTGCTTTCCCCAGTTCCTGCACTCAGGGTTTCCTATCTGTTGTCTAAAGAACCGGGGTCCTTTGTCGGCAACGCCGCCCCGTCGCCGCCTCGTCGCCGCACGTCGTCTGGGCGCGTTTGTCGGGTCCGCCGCCCTGTTGCCGCCGTCGCCGCCCCCCCGCCGCCGCGTGGCCGCCCGTCGTGTGGGCTCGCTTGTCGGGTCCGCCGCCCTGTTGCCGCCGTCGCCGCCCCGTCGCCGCAACAAGGAGTGCATCAAATCGATTCTCCTTTTTCCGAAAATAATGTTAGGATTTCCCCCCCCCCCGGATTTAAACGCTCACCTTTTCGTATTGCATACGTTTCTGCCCCATCGTCAGTCTTAGCTATGAACGCATACCATCGCAGCCAGGCCGGTAACGCCCCCCCCTCATCCTGTGTCGAAGATACTGTGCGCGCACTCGTTCATCAAACATCAGTTTTCAAAAAAACACTTGCAAATATCAAAAAACAACTGTGGCGAAATACACATGCGCGCGTCGTCGCGCGCGCATGCTGGAACCGTTCAAAAATCGTGATGTCGGAAGGGTGTCAAAATCGAGTGCCCCGAACACATGAAAAAACGGCATGGTGTTGCAACATCAACTTTCCAAATAAACCGCGTTCGCGCGCAATTGCGGATTCTCGAGAAAACCATCGGGTTTTCAACATGCTCATAAACTGCTACCACAAGGGCCTCCCGCGCGCGCGTCGAAATCGTTCGAACGCCCTTGCGCGCGTGCCGTCGCAAGAACACCCTGCAAACAACAGGACGAAATGCACACGCGCGCGTCGTCGAACGCTCATGCCGGAATCCTTCAAGTGCCACTGGCTCCGAAAGGGGTTCGCAATCGAGCGCCCCGAACGATATAGAAAAACACATGGTTTTGCAACATCAAGTTTCAAATAAAATCGCGCTCTTGCGACATCTCATAACACAACCACAGTTTGTTGACCAACTTCAAGAAACTCTGCCAAGCGGGCCTTTTTCGCGCCGCGTGTCGATATCAATCGAAAGCGCTTGCGCGCGTGTTGGGGGGGGGGGCACGACCCGTGTCAGATAATACCATGCGGGCCACTCTCGCGCGTCGGCCGCGCGCACATGTCAAATTCATTCCAACACGTCCATCACCGACGCGAAGACGCCTCGGTATGATCAACATCGGCGCCGCATATATAAACATTGGTCCCGCAAAGATTTCGACATTGAGCGCCCCGCAAAACAATGAGAGCTATCATGGTGTTTAAACATCCGCTTTCGGAGAAAATGCGCTCGCGTTTTTGCCAACTCTTCAACAAAACAAATTTTTGTTGTCACAACTTCCGTTCAATTCTGGCCACACGGGCCTTTTCGCGCCGCGTGTCGACATCATTCGAACGTTTTTGCGCGCGCGCTGGGGGGCACGACCCGTGACAAATAATAGTATGCGGGCCACTCTCGCGCGTCGGCCGCGCGCGCATGTCGAACTTTTTCCGAAACATTCATCACCGACGCGAAGACACCGTCATCGTCGCCGGCGTGATCAGCATCGGCGCCGTCACTGGCCGTGCCGTCGCCGCTGTCATCATCGTCACCAGCGTCGCTACTATCATCATCGTGCCTACCTTTTTCGGCGTTGCCATGATACCGCGCCCGCCCAAATGGCCCAGAGGTCAACGCCACCGCGGCCGCGTCGGTCGCCACAAAGTAGCTGGCCGCTGCGCGCGCGAGAATGCGCGGGCTAGCGCGGCCGCAAAGATGCACCAGCCAGCACCAAACACGAATCGCAATCGCCACCGCATGCGTTTTGCAAAACAATTTGCAGCTGGGTCGGTGGGGTGATTGCGCGAGCAGTGGTGTTGAGAACGGCGCGTTCTACAAATGAATTGCACCACGTCGGTTCTTCGTCTTCTTCTTCTAAAAAGAATGTTAGATCGACCCTCCTCCTCGTATGGCAATTGTACATACGATTCTGCCCCATCGCCCATCCGAAATATGAGTTCATACCATCCCAGCCAAGCCAGTTACGGTTCCCTCCCCTCCCACCAACGCAACAAAACTATGCGAGCGCACCCGTTTATTAAAATGCGCCCGTGTCAGAAAATCCCTTGCAACAGACATAACGAAATTCACCCGCGCGCGTCGTCGCGCGCGCATGCCAGACTCCTTCGAAAACCTGAGGCGCCGCGAGGACTGCAGAATCGATCGTCCCGTACACATTTAAAACAAGATGGCTTCGCAACGCAATTAATGTACAAAATTTGCGGTCGCGCCCTGCGAATTCTTCAAGGATCCACGGTTTTGTTTTCAACATGTCCATCACATGCTACCACATGGGCCCCTCGCGCGCGCGTCGAAGTCGTTCGAACGCCTTTGCGCGCGTGCTGTCGCAAAAACCCGTTGCAGAAAAACAAGACGAAGTGCACACGCGCGCGTCGTCGCGCGCGCATGCCCATATCCTTCAACAACCATTGGATTCTACGGGATTCCACAATCGAGCGCCCCGAAAGATATAAACCAACACGTGGTTTTGCAACATCAGTGTTCAAACAACTGCGTTAGCGCTGCTGCGAAATCTCGAGAAGCAAATTTCAAGAAAGTCGGCCAAGCGGGTCTTTCGCGCCGCATGTCGACATCATTCGAACGCCCATGCGCGCGTGCTGGAGGGCACGACGCGTGTCAAGTAGCACCATGCGGGCTACTCTGGCGCGTCGGCCGCGCGCGCATGTCGAACTCCTTCCAAAACCTTCACCACCGACGCGAAGACGCCGTCATCGTCGACGGCCCGGCGTGATCAGCATCGACGCCGTCGCTGGCCGTGCCGTCGCCGCTGTCATCATCGTCACCAGCGACGCTACTATCATCATCGTGTCTACCGTTGTCGACGTTGCCATGATACCGCGCCCGCCCAAGTGGCCGACTCGCATTGAAATGCCCGCTGGGAAGTGCCCAGAGGTCAATGAAACCGCGGCTGCGTCGGTCGCGCCAAACTAGCTGGCCATTGCGCGGGCGAGCATGCGCGGGCTAGCGCGGCCGCAGAGATGCACCAGCCAACACCGAACACTCATCGCAATCGCCGCCGCATGTGATTTGCGAAACAAGTTGCGGGTGGGTGGGTGGGATGATTGCGCGAGCAGTGGACATGACAACTGCGAGTTCCACAAATGAATCAATTCTCCTTTCTAAATAGAGAATAGACTCTACCCCCCCCCGGACTTAACGCTTCCCCCTGGGATAATATAATTTCACACACACACATATATATACATATATATATTCTGCACACTCGTCCATCCGAAATATGAAACCATACCATCCCAGGCAGGCCAGTTCCCCCCCTGAGGTTCCCTTGTAAAAAAAAACACTATGCGGTGATACTTGTTGTTCTAACATCGCACTTTTTCGCGAACCCCTTGCAACAAATGAGACGAAGTGCACACGCGCGCGTCGTCGCGCGCGCATGCCGAAATCCTTCAAAAACCTCCGGTGCCAGAGAGATTTCGCAATCGAGTTCCCAAAAAACTTACAAAAAACACATGGTTTCGCAACACTGATTTGCTAAAAAAGCTTCCGCGCGAGCTCTTACAAAATCTTAAGAAAACCAGTGGTTTTTCAAGATTTTCAGAAAATGCTACCAAACGGGCTTCGCGCGCGCGCGTGTCGAAATCTGTCGAACGCCCTTGCGCGTGTGCCGTCGCGAGAATCCTCTGCAAAAAATAAACAAAGTGCAGACGCGCGCGTGGTCGCGCGCGTACGCCGAAATCCTACAAAACCCATCGGTTTCGGAAGGATTGCGAAATCGCGCGTCCCAACAAAAAAAACCTACAAAAACCCAAGTTTTCGCAACACGGATTTTCAACAAAAGCGTGCGCGCGCGCTCTTGCGTCGTCGTCGTCGTCGTCGTCGTCGCCGTCCTCCCTCCTCCCGCGTCGGCGTCTCGTCGTCGCCTACGTCGTCCTCTGTCTTTCCTCGTGTTCGTCGTCGTCGTCCTCTTTGGCGTCGTGGTCGTTTCCGTCGTCGTTGTCGCCGTGGTCGTCCTTCCTCCCCCTCCCTCGTCGTCGTCGTCGTCCGTCGTCGGCGTCTCGTCGTCGTCCCTCCTATTTCGTCGCCGTCGTCGTCGTCGTCGTCGTTGTCGTCGTCGTCTTCCCTCCTCCCTCGTCGTTGCGTCGTCGGCGTCGCCGTCCTTCCTCCTTCTTCGTCGTTCGCGTCGTCGCCGTCCTCCCTCCTCCCTCGTCGTTGTCGTCGTTGTCGCCGTTGTCGCCGTCGTCGTCCTCCCTCTTCCCTCGTCGTCGTCTTCGTCGCCGTCGTCTTCGTCGTCGGCATCGGCGTCGTCGTCTTCGTCGTCGTCGACGTCGACGTCGGCGTCGTCGTCGTCGCCGCCGTCGTCGTCGTCGTCGTCGTCGGCGTCGTTGACGTCGTCGTCGTCGTCGTCGGCGTCGTCGATATCGTCGTCGTCGGCGTCGTCATCGTCGTCGTCGTTGTCATCGTT